AAATGAACTTGCGGTTGTCCACCTCCTTCACATCGGTTACACAGTGCTTAGTAGTTGGGCGGGTGTGGGGTTTAGGGTTGCCATTGACGAGACTGTTTCATTGGCAGCCGTAACTGTTGCCATGATGGTGGAGGTCACGTGGCGGCGGCGGCGGCGGTGGTGGTGGTGGTGGTATTCCTCTCTCTGGAAATCTGCTGTAGAGGATGTAGTTAAACTCAGTGTATTGGTATACTGCAGTATGACTAGTATAACTCTAATGGGAAAGCCAAAGCAAGTTGTAATAGTATTACTGACTATTCCGACCTCCATATTATGGGAACCGGAAGCCTTCGTGCAAAGCCCGTCCACACTTACACAACTCTGCTTGCCAACCCCTGCCTCCAAAACACCCCAAATCTCAAACCCTGACCCTAACTACCCTATAACTCATTATGACATATCATTGATGAATGGAAGTCTAGGATGGGATTCCGGAAGAGCCGATGCAAACAACTCAAAACCAGCACAGGAGCCATGCACGCAGTCAATGACAGGCTGTTGATGCACCCATGCTGTTTTACGGTTTGGCCAAACGGTTTCGGGCTTCCCAATAAACACTCAGATACTATGGTACATGGACCCTTAAAAGGGACCCGAATTTAGAGAACTACCCATATTAGGAGCCGTACAGGAACCCTAACTTTGTAGTAGCCCTAAAGCCCTCTGGCACCCGTATCAACTCGACAAAAAAAACCTTGGAATAACCCTTATCCCTGAACCCTAAATCCTAAACCTTAAGCCCTAAATCCTAAACCCTAAACCCCAAATCCTAAATCCAAAACCCTAAACCCTAAATCCAAAATCCTAAACCCTAAACCCGAAACCCTTGCCAAATCCCATGATACCGAACAGACGCACAGCCCGCAAACCCACGACTGAAGTTCCAAGCCTTGCCCTGAGACCGACAAGCCCGATCCCAGAGAACCCAATACTCCGTAACTAGGGTTTAGGGTTTAGGGTTTAGGGTATAAAATATGGGAGCCTTAATATTCTGGTTTTAGGTGGTAAATTCCTTATTTTAAGGGGTATTGGGCTCTCTGGGCTTGTTGTTGTGCTTACTTAAACCTGAACCCCCAAACTTTAGAAGCGTTGTGGCCGTGGTCTCAGCCTCACCATAAAGTAGAGGCCTTAGGAATTAGAATAGGGCATATTATACTATGACTATAATAAGGAACTCCCCCAAAATAGTATAGGTAATTATTCAGGCCCCTACAATACCTAAACCCTAAACCCAAACTTTAGAAGCGTTATTGCCGTGGCCTCAGCCCCTACAATACCCCGACAAAGAACCCAGACCCGACTCTCTGACTCCAGCTCCTGGCTTTAGAGTTGGATTTAAGTTTTGGGGTTTAGGGTTTGCAGCTTAAGGTTTAAAGTTTGGGGTTTAGGGTTACAAGTTTAGGATTCAGGTTTTAAAGTTTAGGGTCTAGGGTTTCAAGTTTAGGGTTCAGGGTCTGTAAATTAGGATTCAGGGTTTAAACTTTAGGATTCAGGGTTCCTGTCGTCAAGGCTTTACGGCCAGGTCCAAAGCGATCAGGGCCTCAGGATTGGGAGGGTTTGCGCACCGACAACCCGGTTTAGGGCTTAGGGTTTAGGGTTAAAGGGTTTAGGGGTTTAGGGCTGAGGGGTTCAGGCTGTGACCCAACCTGAAAGCCGAACCCTACAACCTCGAACCCCAAAATCCGAAGCCCAGTACTAACAGCCCGAAGCCCTCAACATTCTTAAACCCTGAAGCCCCTGACACTCTGAGCTTAAACCCCCATGGAAGCCTTCTCCTCACATCACCTTCTAACACAGAATATCTGAAAAAACACGATATCATTCCTTCGGGTCCCTGACAACTTAACAGAGCTGTGCGGCAATAACGCCCCCGACGCCTAACTCTTAGTCACTAAGGCCTGTATGTGACAGCCTTTCTCGTAAACCCTATCCTCAGTGCCCGCTCAGGAACCCAATGCCCCAAACCTTCCGATATCCCTGACTTATAAGGTAAGGAACATTCATGAAGTTATAGTAGGATCCCTGAATATGATTTAAGGCATATTCCTTAATCAAAGGATTTTGGAAGGTCTGGGATCCCAAACCCTACTACAAACTCCTATAAACCCTACTCTGCAGCCCTATAGACCCTATACTCCTTTCCCCAAAAAAACCCTAGCAAGGTCTGGGATCCTCAGCTCTGCTGTAAACTCCTATAGACCCTACTCTACACCCCTATCTTAGCTGCCCAGTACCCTGGCCCAAAAAAGTTTAAACTTGTCTTTTAGTAGAGTTTTAATATACCCAAAAAGTTTAAAGTTTACCTATTGGGCTCCTAAGCTATAGACCCTATATTCCTTCCCAAAAAGACCCTAGCAAGGTCTGGGATCCTCAACTGGAGCTCTAAGTCCGGGCAGGGAGCATAATGCGACCCCACGGGTCCTGAGCGACCGGAGCGTCAGGGATGAGGTTTAGGCTTGCCCAGAGAACCGAATACCCTTTAATTAAGGAATATGCCTTAAATCATAATATTAAGGCACCATTAGTTTAAGGCATATTCCTTAACTAAGGTGTATTGGGTTCTCTGGGTGCCTTACAAGGGTTTAGCTCCGGGCTAGGGCTTAGGCTTAGGGGTCTTTCTTACATGCGTTTGGGTTTGGAGGTTTAGTTTAGGTTGCTTCGCTACAAGGGTTTAGGGTTGCTGTTGCAAGGGATCTGTTTACAAGGGCATAGGGTGTCTGTGTGTATGAGGTTTTACCTTGTTGCCGCAAGCGCTTTGAGTTTTGTTTTTCATCACAAGGGGTTGACCTTCTGACTTCTGTTAGTGTCGGCAATTTAGAGCTTGAGTGGGTTTTGGTTGTATGTGGGCCTTTTGTGGTGCTTAATGTCTCTAAGTTAAGATTGTCAGGATTGGGCTGGAATTGTTTTATGGCCTCTCGTTCAGGTTTGCGGTTCCGGGGTTTGGCATGCACACTTATAAGGGCTTCGTTTTGGGTTGTGAGTGTGGATTCCTAAAACCCTAAACCCTTATAAGGGCTTCGTTTTGGGTGGGGATTGGCTTAGGGCTTTGTAGCTGCAGATCCGGGCGTCCGGGTGTAAGGCCCCATCTTAAGGAAGACAAAAGATGGCTGAGAGAAATGCTGTTAGGTTTAGGGGTTTAGGGTTTAGGGGTTTAGTGTCTAGGGTTTAGGACCACTGAGCAAGGACGAGCCCGCATTGCAGGGTTGTTCAGGTGCTTTGGCAGATGCAACTACAGACTTTGGAAGGCAGGGTTTAGGGGATAGGGTTTAGGGGCTAGGGTTTAGGGTTTGCGGATGTATCCCTGGTAACCCCAAACTTAAGGCACCGCTGTGCCTTTATAGCATGGGTGAGGTGCCTGATAGCAGTTTATAAAGCCCCTCGGAGAGCCAATACCTCCTGCTAAAAACAGAACCTGCCTGAATTCCTAATGTCAGGCAGCATGTTATGGATGGTATATTCCTTATACCCTGAACCCTAAACCCTAAACCCTAAACCCTAAACCGTGGCCCTTCCAACCCCCCATGTATTCCTTAGTTGACGGGTGATCGGCTTATGTCTGGACACACTGTGGCTAGAGAGCCGGGCTGAGACCTAAGTGTTCGGGTTTAGGGTTTAGGGTTTAGGGTTTAGGGCTTAGGGTTTAGGGTTAAGGGTTCAAGGTGTTGTACGTTAGTCTAAACCCAGCGCCAAAGCTCCAAGGTTTGTTTCAGACAGTTGAGGCTTTACGGGCCTGGAGGTTACGGCTTAGGGCGCCTGAGGATTAAGGTTCTAGGATTCATTGTTTGGGGTCTAAGGTCTAAGGCTTTGTTTAGGGTTTAGGGTTCACAATTTTGGGCTTGGGGCTTGTCTGCCTTGGGTGATGAAGGACAGCACCTCCTGGCCACCTTACCCTTGCCTGCTCAGCTATGCCTGCCGCGTGTGTTATGCCTTGCTCCGCATACTACCGAAATAGCGAGAAACACCGAGAAAGCCCATGATACCTGAATTACGGAATAAAAGAAACCCCCCAAACCAGTGCCAAAAAACACACGGCCAAACTTGCACTTAGACTCCCACAGCCAGCACAACGCTCCTCAACACCAGAATGCCCCAAAGCAGCAAGTTCATGCAGTATTGCAGGGGCCTTAAGAATCAAGTTAGGGTTTTGCGGTATCTTGTGATAAAATCACCATGAATCATAAAGAACCCGAGGGAATCATGTAGCTGCTGATTCAGGCCCCTACATCGAGTTTTTCATATGGGCTGGCCATACCCATAGGCTCCATTGTAGCTCCCTTTCGGGATTACCTCCTAGGATCCTAAATAGAAACCACAAAAAGGAAGAATAATGAAGCCTATAGGTTTATCATACCTGTGTAATTCGGCTTTAGGATGAGTTCGGTGCATGGACTGGGGTTGGCTGTCAAGCCTCTAACAATAACTAGATTCTCCACGTCGAACCCCTTCTCCCAAATTGAAAAGCCGTGAAAATCCAAACATATGAGCAATCTACGGGTTCAACTCTTCAACCCTAAACCACGCGCCCTGAAAACCCACAACCCCGCACCCTGACATTCTTCAATCATAAACCTGAAATTCTTGAACCGTATACCCAGATTTCACAACCCCAGCATCCAAGTTCTTAATCCTAAAATCCCAAGCTGCGACGCCAACTTCTTCGGCCGCAAACCCAAAGATCCGAAGTACTTACATGAGGGAGACATTCTCAAATCATAACAGCGGTTCCCAGCAAAAAAACACATTCTACTATGTAACGTACGGGCCTTCATCGTTAGAATAGGGTTTTGGGGTATATTTTAACTATAACTATGATAAAGAACCCTAAAAATAGTATCGGTAATTATTTACACNNAAAAAAAAAAAAAATAGTATAGGTGCTTATTTAGGCTCTATATGAACATACTTAGAACTACTTAGGACCCTTTGGGTAAAAAACAACCGAAGCCTCCGAGTCGAGATTCTCTGGCTGTGGCCCGCTTGTCCGCTTCCCAGAGTGCTTCTGCCGACGACACTTTCCGCACCTGTACCCAGAGAACCCAATACACCTTAATTAAGGAATTTAGCTTAAGTTATAGGGGCCTTAATATTATGAGTTAAGGTATATTCATTAACTAAGGGGTATTGGGTTCTCTGGGTACTTGTCGTGACAGTAGCTTTAAAGTGCGTGTGGTAGCTATCATAGTTGTAGTAACATTGTAGTACTTGTAGGAGATACGAATATATGATTATGATTGCAACGGCTTTTTTGCAGCTAGGATTACCGTAACACTCCTAATGGCCCAAAGTGTAGGTACCTTTTCTGGACTTTAGGATGGACAATAGGTATCGGGCTTGCACTCGGAGTCTTAGGATCAGGAGGGTTTCAGTGTTGGGTTTTGGTTTAGGGTTTAGGGTTGAAGGTTTAGGTTGAGGATTCACTGCGGTTTTGGGAGTGGTGAGGGTGCAGTTGGCCCTGGTGAGTTGCAGGGAGTTTGGAAGGCACCTTGCACGCCTCAGAAAGTAGAAGCTGTACAGGCTCCGTGGGTTTGGGAAAGTCAAGCCAAGCGGCATGTTTATAAGAGTACAGAAGCCTCCAATCCCTAAACCCTAAACCCTAAACAACAATGCATGCCGCAGCATTGGGTACAGCGACAAACCCTTGGAACAGCGAGCTCCGGCACCGGAAAGGACCTCCAAAGAGTATCTACTCCTACACTCAAGAAGGGTCACTCCGAACCCTGGCCTTCTCAAGCATGTTGATCATGTCCGGTGGCGTGAAGCCCCGTTCGTCGGAGAAGCAAAAGGATTTGAAGCGGACACCGTCACCCTCAAGCCTGGGTTTGGCGTTTGGGATTCTGGGCACTAGCAGGGTCCTTGCAACGGATTCTTTTGGGGCTCTTTTAAGGGTTCCTTTCCAGGCTCTACAAAACCCTAAACCCTATACCCTAAACAATAAAAATTCGACAGCCTAAACCCTGAACCGTACACCCTAAACCCTAAACCCCAAACTCTACACCCTAAACCCTAAACCGGGTCTTAGGGCACAGTGCTTCAGGGATTAGGACTTGGGGGCGTAGGGTGGGAGACTCGGGGGTGCAGGGCTTCAGGGAGTCCAACCAAACCCAGCCACGAAGAATCTGAACCGAAAGACAAGCAACCCGAAAGTTAAAGGAAACTACAGGTGGGGAGCTCAGGGTGTGTGTGTGTATATATATATATATAGATCTCTCTCTCTCTCTCTCATATATATATATATATATAGGGCTTCTATTATTAAGGCTTCCATAAGGTATATAGACCTTCTATAAGGCTCCTATAACGGTAACTACCCACCTGAAAATGTCCTAGAGAATAGGGTCGAAACCGTACAGCCTAAAACCTAAGACGCTAAAACGCCAAACACAAAGGTTCACAACACCCCAACCTAAACCCTTTTGCACCCTTGTAGACCCCATACCAAAGTCCATTTCATAGAGCCATGACGGAAAGCTGATAAGTCTTTATATAGATATAAACATATGAATACTTTCTCTGAACCCAACAGATCCTCACCAGCCCGGAATTCCAACGCCAAAGACCTGAAGCCCTTTTTCGCAGCAGGCCTCGTTGCCAGCAGCCCGCTCTAGTTAAAAAACCACCCTAAACCTTCAGGTCTTCTTAAGACACCAGCAAACTTGAAGCCTTGTTCCTAAACCCCACCTTAAAGCAAGGACAACGCAAAAAAGTCTAAATGCAAAACCCCTTGTCTGAGCCGCTCTGCGCAAAGGGTCGTAAACACAGTCCCAAAGGGTCCAAGTATGGTACTAAGCACAGTCCCTAAAGGGTTCAAATAAAAGTGTGGTATATACTTTTCAGGTCCAAATACCACCTAAGTAGCTACTGAGTACAGTCCCAAAGGGTCCAAGCAAAAGTATGTTATATACCTTTGGTCACCTAAGTAGCTACTAAGGACAGTCCCAAAGGGAATCTATATAGGTACCTGGACCCTCTGGGAGTAGGAACTACTTTTCTAGTTTGGGCAAAAGAAACCACATAGGTACTGAGTATCTTTGGGCTCTATGCCCGAAGCCCTAAAAAAAACAAAAACCTCTAAGCCCTTGGCCTATCTTATATCGAGTTGCTCGTCGAAGACAGGATGGGAAACGCCTTCGCCAATACCTGGGCCCGGATCTTCTCGCAGGATCTTAGGACTGCACTTCGTCAATTAATATGAAAGCTTCCCTGTACGGGATGTATAAGGGTTCCTTTAAAGGGATCACTAAGTCCATGAGGGTTCCTTTATGGGGTTCTATGCGCCTTCTCTAGGTTTCGGATGGGCATCCAGCTAGTCTTACTACTGTTGATGATACAAATCCTGCATCACCACAAGAGTCTTGAACTATGGGAAGTATGGTCTATTCCTTACCTTCTGGGTAAGGCAGGATGTACATCATCAACTGTACCAGGACGTTGAAAAAATGTAGCTCGTGGCAGTCCACAAGTTCGGAATCCTCAGTGCCACACACCCACCCGGAGCTCAAAACCAAGAAGCCGAAGGCATTCAGCACTTTGCCCTAAACTTTACCTTCTATGCAGCCTCCAGAAATCCCCCTAAATCTCTGGAAAACCGTGTGACATGCAAGGCTTGTAAGTATGTTGGAGTTCAGAATTCAAGGCGCCTGCCCAAGGAATATGACACTGCGTCCGGTCGTCGTCGAAGCAGCAAACCTTTTCTTTCTCCTGAGAGACGGGGGAGTTTGGGGCTTGCGAATTACAGAGGCCTTGATCAGAATAGGATTTAGGATGTTTAGGGTTTAGGGTTTAGGGTTTAGGGTTTAGGGTTTAGGGTTCTTACAGTATATGTAAAAAGGTAGCAGTGTCCGGGCTTACAAGAGTCGGGACGGAGAGGTTTATGGTTGAAACATCGTGAATCGTTCGACCCCAAACCCTACAGTAGCCCCTAAACCGGGCAGGGCCGGCTGACTTTGGGATGAAGTGCTTCGCAGACTGAGCCTGATGTCGGAAACCGAATCGGAACTTGAATACAGGTGGCCTTAATAATTAGAATAGGGCTCTGAAGTCCACTGTGGTATGACTATATGAGCTAGGGACTATGCGGAAACAGTACGAGTACCCTTTCCGGCCCCTATATCGGGTGTTCAGTCCTATGTTGTCCTGCCCGTAACCCTAAACCCTCAACCCTATGTTGGAAGGGGGCAGCAAGGGCTTTTGGGCATCAGATTTCCACGCGCAGGCTGCTCAAACGTCCGGTGGCGTAATATGTAGGGCCTTAAAAACCAGAATAAGGTTTTGGGGTTCCTTTAATACCGGGTTCCTTAAAGGGCTCTATAAGGGCTACTATAAGGGTTCTATAAGACAGGCGCCTTCATATTTAGATAAGGTTTTGGGGTATATTATACGATAATCATAATAAGGATAAGGAGCCCTCACAATAGCATCGGTACGTATTGAGGCTGCTATATTAGCAACTTCAATCAATGCCAGAAAGACAACCACGATAAACAACAAAATCGACCCGACAATGTCCCAAGCCAGCGATCAGGCTTGTTGAGCAAAAAACAAGCCGAGAGGGTAACTACCCCTCTACCCTTACGTCCACGATACGCAAAATCCCAAGTCCTATCATCTATCCGAAAATCAAGAGAAACAATGCGCGAAAGGAGTGCAGGGCACCCGTCCGCGGCCAAACCTTCACGTGAAACCCCAAATGACTTCACCTTGCACGTCATGATGGACAGAATTCCTGCACCCTCGGGTGTCCTTGTCGGAGAGGGGACAATGTGTCTCCATGAGCTGCCTCAGCTGAAACCTAACCTCCCACCATGCCCAACGAGTACAGCCTTCATTGAATCTGGCTGAGGGGACACTGCTGCATCATTCTCCTGTCTGTTAAACCCATCCGCAACCGTACATCCTAGATCCTGAACCATGAACCCTGAAGCCGAAAAATAGAAAATTGAACACTGCAAACCCTAAACACTAAGCCCTGAAAACCCAAACGACCCCCAACAACAAAACTAAATGGTAAACCCTACCTTAATTTGTATCATAACCGACTTCTTTTGCAGGTTCTTACTTTAAGCCCAAATCTGCATTATATAGGGACCCTACAAATAGTTACATGGGCTCTAGTAGTTTAAGGTACACATTTATGGTTGAGGGTTCAGGTCTTCATGTTGCAGGTCATGCAAACGCTTGTGTTAGACTAGACTGTGAGATCTGCGAAGAAGCACAAGTTTCGATTCATAACAACCCTACACCCTAAACCCTAAACCCTGAAACCTAAACCCTACCTAAAGTTTCCATTAAGTTTTTGGTTTGACCAGTTTTATATGTAGGATCCTATGAGGTAGCCCCAAACAAAGAACTACAATGGAGACTATAGGTAAACCCTCAACCCTCGACTTCGAATCCCAAACCCTAAACCCTAAACCCTAAACCCCAAACCCTAAACCCTAAACCCTCAACCCTCGAATCCCAAACTCAAGAGGAAAAAGCCAGGCCGCTTCTGCCGTGTCCAGACCTCCTTCCTCGGTATCAAGGGTTTAGGGTTTAGGGTTTAGGGTTTTAGGGTTTAGGGTTTAGGGTTTAGGGTTTTAGGGTTTAGGGTTTAGGGTTTAGGGCTAATCTCTTTAGTTGAATTATCCTCAACCCCTAAACCTCAACCCTAAACCCTAAACCGACAAACCCTAATCAAACCTAAACCTTAAACCTAAACCCCTAAACCCTAATCAAACCTAAACCCTAATCAAACCTAAATCCTAAACCCCTAAAACTAAACCCTAAACCCTAAACAAACCTAAACCCCAAACCCTAAACCCAAAACCCCTAAACCCTAAACCCTTAACTTCCCAGACATCCCACCCCCCGAGCATGCTGCCAAGCTCGCACTTAGGAACTACCTATGGTCTCCATTGTAGTTCCTTTTTGGGGATATCTTATAACCATTGTAGTTCCTTTTGGGGGATACCTTATAACCACTGTAGTTCCTTTTTGGGGATACTTTATAACCATTGTAGTTCCTTTTCGGGGATACTGTACCTTGTGAACATTGTAGTTCCTTTTTGGGGATACCTTATAAACACCTTAAATAGATAATTGGTTGAACCAGAAAAAGGAATTACAATGGAGACTATAGGTACTTGTTGGTGCAGGGCGCTGGAGGTGTCTTGCCCTGAACCCTAAACCCTGGGTTTAGGGTTCAGGCTTTCCTAAACCTGGGTTTAGGGTTCAGGCTTTCCTAAACCCCGGGTTTAAGGTTGCCTAAACCCTGGGTTTAGGGTTTAAAAAATTCAGAACCCCGAAGCCCTAAACCCTTAGAACTTATACTTAATTACTCTCCGCTCACAGGTGCAACATGTGCGCAACCTCTCTAAACTGCTAGGGGCATCAGCCCCGTTGGGTTTAGGGTTTAGGGGGGTTTAGGGTTTATAGGGTTTAGACATGACAATTGCCAAACTAATAAGCGCGGGGTGACATCTACGGATTCAGTCGAAGGGGCCAATCAAGCTACTGCAAAATGCGGCAACAAGTGTTGATTGCGGTTTTAGCCGAATTGTTCCGCCTCTCCTTGATATCGGTTTTCTGTGCGGAACCTGGGCAAAACGTCTTACACAGCTGCAGGGCTGCGACTATGTCTCGAAGCGGACTGGTATTCAAATATGGCAAAGAACCTGTACTCGCAAAAATGAAGTGCCCAACCAAAACCCTCACCTCAGCTGGGTTTCCCGCTAGATATGCTGGGTTTAGCGTTAGGGTGTCGATTAGTAAAGGCACCCTCCACGTCTTCGGGTTCAGGATCCCTCCACATCGGAAATGCCTGACCCTACTCAGGCTTAGCTGGATGAAGATACCCCCAACCCGAAACCCTGAAACTTGACCTAGACTCTAAACTCTAGGCCCAGTTGCATGAAAATACTCCCTTTGCGAGAAGCCAGGAAGTTCGAGCTGAAATGTCGGGAGCAAGAACCTGAGGATACTACACAAACAGGCAGGGCTGCGCCTACTACAGTATAATCCCTACGGGAGGGGGGTCGTCTTGGGATCTACCAATCTACAGTCATGTCTGCTTGAGGCTTTGGTGTTGAGTTGGGGTGACGGGGTCTATGGTTTCAGGGAGCCTTTGCGATTTGAGGCTCAAGTCTATAGTCTGCGGAGGTGTCGACTGTCCACCCCTGGCAAGCTGCCTGTTTGTACCTTGCATCGCTGAACGGATGTGATTAGGGCTCGACATTATTCTACTAAACGATCCAAGTACCCACTAGCAGGGTTCATGGGCCCGAAGGCTACACTGAAACATTGTGACTGAAAGCTAAATCCCTGCGATGTGCGAACCTAGGTTCTTGCAGGGCTACAAAGCCTTGAAGGCATCAAAGGCACCTAGACCTGCATGGAACCTCGACCCCGCGAACATCCTCGACTCCTCTAACGGAAAAACTCGGTAACTGCACCACGCATAGACATATACCATCACTGTTACACACACACACACATATATACATATATACACATCTACATATGTATGTAAGTGAAGTCATGATGCCAGCCGTGTGCGTACATAAACACGCAAATTGATTTTGTATGCTAACGCACATATCTATGTATATACGTGTGTATTTATGTATGTAAGTATGTAAGTATGTATGTATGTATGTATGTATGTATGTATGTATGTATGTATTATGTGTACGTATACACATACATACATACATACATACATACATACATACATACATACATACATACATACATACACACATACATACATACATAGGTACATACACACATACAGACATACATACATACATACATACATACATACATACATACATACATACATACATACATACATAAAAACTAACATAACATAACATAACATAACATAACATAACATAACATAACATAACATAACATAACACACATACATACACAAAACATACATACATACATACATACATACATACATACATACATACATACATGCATGCGTACATACATACATACATACATACATACATACATACATACATACATGCATATACATACATATACATACATCTAGATACATATACAAACACCTACATACATATACATCCATACATATACATACCTTT